ACAAAGTTTGAATAGTGGATGGTGGGCATAAATCTACTTGTCTGACATAATCTTATCATACGCCACTGTGATTCAAATGGTTTTAGAAACATTACCACCTGCATTATTTTAGGAGCAGCATCAAGAACAGCATCTAAAAACAGATGATTATAAAATGATATATCAGATATTGATTTTTTTACCAGACACAGTAGATGATGAACAATATGATACTGCAGTAGTTCCTACTAATAACATCAAGTGTATAATGTACATCAGTGACTGAATCATTTACTAATATGTAACTACCTGATGATTGAGTAGTTTCTAGACTGGCATTTTATGCCCACAGTGTATAAACCCACAGTTACTATAAGGCCTTTTCCACCATTTCCTTTATGCACGTAGGCCGTGTTCCAGCACTATACAGAGGTTGTTTTTTATACCACTATGACTATGGCCAGGATGACAGCAACTGTACATCATAGAGAGGTGTCTGCTAATTAAGAGTTTGTTTTTAAAATTGTGAATTCTCTACTTTTCAATTTTGGCAAAATTTGGCCCCAGACCATGTGCTATATAGTACAGGGACTTTGCATTTTGAGAAAAAATTCGCAAAAAAATTTTAAAATTTGATTGGAACCAGTCAACCGGCTCAAACTTTCTACACAACACAAGTACATGTATATATATTTAGGTATTGTGTTTGGCCAGTACTAACATACAAATTTACTCTTATTTGTCTCAGTTTGACCAGTAGCTATGTCTCCTGATTAATGATACCACTTACTGCTGCATGACTGCATCCATTTTTACCCCTAGGCGTGGCTCATTAAAGCTATCATCAAATCAAGCTTAGCTTGCAAAATAAGTGGCTTGAAGTTAACTTATACAGGGTATACGTATAATACAACTACAAGCTAAATATACCATTCAAAATTATAGTAAAATGGTTTCTCTCACTAATAACAATCTATAGTTTTATCTTAATGCAAAGATAAAGAATTCACACACACACACACACACAGAGTGTAATATTTACATTCAATTAATGCAAAAGATTTCAAGCCGGCAGCTCACATCACACCATTACGCTAGTTCTTCTGCTTTAGAGAGTCTGGAGAAACATTATTCAATTGATAATGAACGTATGTGGCAGCTGTATGAGATGCAAAATGTTTCCAACCTCTGCATTCATCCTTTGTACCATCGCCCCAGTCACCAACACTCTTAATGACAATAATTTCTGGTCTCTGAGCATCACGTCTAGCAGCAGAATATATCCCAGCTCCTTCCATTTCACCAGCATAAAGATCAGGACCTTGAGAACGAATGCTTCTCGATTCTTTTTTAAATTCTTCATCATCGACCAAAACAGGAGAAGTAACAATAGGGCCAGAATGAACTTTGACCTTTTTGGCATTTTCTTCATCAGAGTGTTTCTTTTTAAAACCGTGAGTGGGATCGGAGAAAATTTTAGAAAGCGTCACTCCTACTGAAATGTCAGGTTTACGAAGCTCGACACTTCCTGGTTCCTTACGAAAGTTAGATAAGTTCACAATCTTACTAGAAACAATAACATCAGCAAGGTTTACTTTGCTTCGATCCATTCCAAAGCATATTCCAATGGCAATTACGTAATTTGGCTTAAATTCTGCCATTATCTCCTGGGCTGTTGTGCCTATAAAAAAATATAGTTCAATACACTCAAGCGAAGAATAGCTACATGTACAACTACAATTACATGTACAGTATATGTTTTTGGTTATTAAAATATCAAAATATTATGCTGGAGGAAATTCAGTACGATAAAAAGTATTTGCTGAACGAAAAGAAGTAGTACAATATTCAATAGTACAATGTCCTTTTCCCATTATCAGTACTAATAGCTTGCATGCTGGTACTAGTAGTAGATCTACTGCTTCCATTAGATGACACTGTAGCCATAGGCGTATTTGGACCCGGGCAAGCACGGGCTTTGCCCGGGTAGAAATTTGCAGCCATAATTATATTCATTGGTTATTGTATTATACACAGTATTGTAACAGTGGGAGGACTGTTAACCACAATAGTTAGCACTGTTAACCACAATAATTTAGCACACACCTACATGTTACAAGTGTTTATTCAAGCACCAGGGCAGTTATAGGTCTTAAATTTAAAATGCCTTTGCCCAAATTGTCCCAATCAATAGTTAAAGGTATGATTAATTAATTAGATATATGAATAATTAATTAATTATATGAATAATTAATTAAGTGCCCTAGTAGCTGGAGAAGGCTAGATACGCCTATGACTGTAGCAGTTGGTACTGTAACAGAAACAACATGACATTATGTAAAAATAATGATTACAGGTGTACAGCAGAATCCCCTACAGCCAGTAGAGGTCAGTAAACAACTATAATTATAATCAAGTCAAATGGAGTGACAGACTTATCAGTGGTGGATAGGGTTTGCCTCTAGAATGGTACTGATAATCTTCAGTAGTATCTTATTACAGTATCAGGTAACTACCCATCACTTCACCCACTCCTACTCATACACACACCTGCTGTAGTAGCTATAGTCTAATTGTGGTTGGTACTGGTTTGGTCATGCAAGTAATTCAATTTTAGTAATTTATAGTCAAATTTTATTAAGTTATAGGTTTCTGAGAAAGTATTAATTTTATAAGATCTTATCAATAACTTGAACTTACCCAATTCATTGGCTATATCAGTGATTGGTTTCTCTCCCACTTCTCTTAATACTGTACAAACGTCATTTAAAAAAATCTCAGGATGTTTATCATTGTTAAGACTCCTTTGTAACTCGCTTACTAACTTTGAGGCTTTCTTTGAAGGAATATCATGACTATTGATCATCTCATCTTTTAGCTCAAGGGAAATTAATCCTTGAGCATAAAGCTTGCCTACAACTCCAGTTAAGCAAGAGGATATGGCATTTTCCAGTCTATTGGAAACACTTCTAAACCGACTGGAAGCAGCTGCTTAGTTTTAAGAAAAGATTCATGCTGTACTTACTAGTACCAGAGGAGACAGGGACAGTGGGTTGGGCCTTGATTGGGTCACTTCTTGATGCTTCTGGAGTTTCTAATGAAATGATAGATTTTATAATTGTAGTCTGATCGAATTTCTTAATTGGCGCAGGTAGATCTAATTGTATTACAAGTATTACCTTCAATTTTACTTCTCATGGTTGCTCCATGTTTCTTTAGTACTTCACTTCCTACATCTTCATCTTCAAATATGTCACAAATCTGGAGAAGACATTTAGCAGGATCATCATGATTCCTAATCTTGTCGCGGAGGCAGTGAGCCACTTCACTGCCTCTTTTTTGATCTGATAAGTTTGTTTTGGTTTTTATAGACTCAAGTTGTTGCTCTGTTATTAGGTCATCTGCTAAAAGGATGTCAGTAACATTTGTGAAAGTTGACTCTTTTCCAAGTGCAGCTGTAAGTTGGGGGCGGATCATTTTCCGGAACACATCATAAGGTGTTTTACCTAAAAGATCATAAAGTCACTTGACAATAAGTATATATATACCAGTACCTCCTTCAGCCATGATGATTATA